GGGGAAGCGGAGAGAGGGTTGGAGACCGGGAGCGGAGGACCAGTGAGACGCGAGGAAGGGCGAGGGGCGAAGGGAGAGAGAGAGGGGCGGAGGGAGGGAGAAGGGGCAATGGGAGAAGAGGGGAGGAGGGGGAACAAGGGGAAGGGGGGTTGAGCGTGGCGTCATAACTCAGCGTTGCGCAAGCGAAAGCGGAATTCGCCACCGGAGGGACACTTTTCAAGGGTCGAGAGGTACCGACTGTCCAGCGACGGGAGCCCTCCGCAGCAGCGCGCCCGAGCACGCTTGGCGTTGCCTCTGCTTTACTTGCGCGTCTTTGCGCTTTTTTTGGTTTATCGCGCGCACTCTGTTCTTTCGTTTGTTTGTTCGGTTTTTGAGGAGGGGGAGGGGGGTAGGGGTTGGATCGCGAGTATAGGATGGGGATGGGGCGCTTGCGTTGGTCTGTCTGTGCGTATGGTTGTCTATTTTCCTGTCTGGCCTGTCTGGTCTGGTCTCGCTCGTACAGTGGTCTAGTTAAGTCTTATCTGACTAGTCCTTCTCAGGGCTCTCTATCTGTCTATGCTATCGTCCCGTCCTCTCTCTCTCGCTTCTCTCGGTCTCCCTCCACCGGTTCTCTCTCGTCATCGTCTCACTCGTCGCTCGTCTCCTCTACTCGTCGCTCTCATCTCTGCGTCTCCCGACGTCCGTGTCTCTCTCTCTCTCTCACAGACACACCGGCTGCCTGCTCTCTCCATCTCTCTCTCGTCTCTCTCTCTCTTTCCGCACGTATCTCCCGTTTCCCGTATTCCGCGCGACTCCTAATATCTTGCCGTCTCTTCCCCCTCTCTCAACCTCAGGGCCTTATATGGAAAACTACGGAATCTGTAGAATTTGAAGGGAATCTTCTTGCCGCACGGCGTTCGGAGCGCACAGTTTTTCCAGAGGGCGTTCAACATCCTGATATGCCTCACAAACCCACTTCCAAACCGACTTTCTGTCTCTAGATTTTCTTCATTTCCTCTCTTCTATTATTCTATGTAATCAATGTGTATTACAGTTCGTTGTAGTTTCAGGTGGATGGAGTGTTGGGATGAAGACGGAAGACTTTTGCCAGGATATTTCACCGCAGATGGCGCTGCCTCGCCTTCGCCGTTTGATACAGACGCCGGGCCGCCTGCGGTTGCGAATGAGGGGCGGTGGAGGGTTTGTATTCACAGGCAGCGGCGTCTCCGTGCATGTTGGAGTGCACTAGCTGGCGGGGCCATTGTATGAGGAATGGTTGGTGTGCATTTATTTGTGTTGTGTCACTATTGTGTGAGAGTATGTGATTGCCATATGTGTGCACCGAGTTATGTGTGAGTATGTAGGAGTCGCATATGTGTGGCACTAATTGTGGTGTGAGTTAGTCACGGTAATGCGTAATGTGTGGACTGAGTTGGTGTGAGTTATGGTAATGGGCATATGTGTGGCACTCGTTTGCTGTGCAGTATGTCACTGGGATATGAATGGGTGGCACTAGTTGTGTGTGAGTATAGTATGGCATATGTGTGCACTAAAAGTTTCTGTGTGAGTATGTAGCTATACACCACTGAAGACACACGCCACATACACACACGACACACCACACGAGCCACACAGGCTCACCAGCCACGGGAGGCAGCACAGCCCGACACTGACGACACACGACGCAGCAGCACCGCCACACACGAGGCGACACACGCACACCATCAAACACAACACCAGAGAGAGACACAGCACAATGCACACACACGCACACAGGTCCACACAGCCCACCGGGGCAGCACGACATACACACACACGCACAACGACACACACACACACACCACACACACACGCACACACACACACACAGCACACACACACACAGGGTGCCCCACACCACACACACTACACACAGCCACACTACGGCACAACACGCCGCACACACTCACACACTAGCCTGCACACAGCACGGCACACGGGACACACACACAACAGCGACAGCACACACAGCAGCACGACAGCACACACACACACACACAGCACATCGCACACACACACACAACACATATATATATATATAATAGAGCATATATATATATATATATAGTATTTAATATATATATGACAGCACATACACACACAGCCACACACACACCACAACTTTGTTGGTTCAGTGCACACCACACATTATATATATATATATAAGGTTATAGTATATAATATAATATACTAGGTATAGCTAGTATATAGGTATATATAGTACGAGAAGGTAAGTGATATGGTGTGTGTGGTGGTGTGTGCTGTGTGTGTGTGTGTGTGTGTGGTGGCGTGTGTGTATAATTATAGTATAATGATATAATATATATATATATATATATATATATATAGGTGAGTTTTGTGTGCGGCGTGGTGTGTGTGTTGTGCTGGGTGTGTGCTGTGTGCTATAGCACCCAGGCACAAGGGCGCACACACAGCCACAACACGACGCAATCGGCACGGGTGGCGTCACAGAGCGAAAGCACACAGACACCACACACACCACACAGCCAGACCACACACACACACACAGACAGCGACACGATATATGATATATATTATATACTTATAATAGGTATATAATATAGTATATACTATAGTGTATATATATAATATATTTAACATGATATAGTGTTATAGTATAGTTATATAGGTATAATGTGTATGTATATTACATACATATATATAAATATATATAATATTATATATATATATATATATATATTATATATATGTATATGATATATAATATATATATATAGTATATGTATATATGATAATAATATATATATATATAGTATATATATATATATATATATATAAAGAAATTATATTAATATATATGTATAAATATATATTGGTATATGTATATATAAAGCATATATATATATAAGTATATATATATAAGATATATATAAGGTAATATCCTGGTGGTGTGGTATGTATGTATGGGTACACTATCTATCTATCTGTCTATCTATCTATCTATCTATCCTATATTATTATTTACATACATATATTATATATATATATAATATATTATATATATATATATATATATATATCATATATATATATACATAATATAAATCATATATATAGTATATAGTATTATATAGAGTTATATATATATAGTGTGTGTGTTTTGTGTGTGGTGGTGTATAGAAAGAGAGGGATAGAGGGAGAGAGAGAGAGAGAGAGAGAGAGAGAGAGAGAGAGAGAGAGAGAGAGAAGAGAGAGAGAGAGGGAGGAGAGGGGAAGGGAGGCGAGCGAGGGAGAGGGGGAGAGAGGGAGGGAAGACGACAGAGCTGAGACGAGAGGAGAGAGAGGGGAGAGAGAGAGGAGAGAGAGAGAAAGAGAGAGAGAGCGACGAAGAGAAGAGAGAGAGAGAGAGAGAGAGAGAGGAAGAGAGAGTGAGAGAGAGAGAGAGAGAGATGAGACAGACATTCACAGAACTATCAAAATGCCCACAGGCAAGCAGAGGTGAGATTCCTCCAAATACCACACGCCAACCCCGCCAACTGCTCTCCTCCCGCACACAAGCAGATGACCCAGATGACCAGCGCCAGTCAGATGGCCGCAACGTCGTCATCGAGAAAAGATACAAATGATACGTAAATTGATGCGTCTGTTGTGCCATTATACGGTATGCAGGAGAGGCCTTTGTCATGGCAGGGTGACACACGCAGCGGAAGTGGTCTTGAGGCGCAGTAAGGGCTGATGGTTGATGGAGTATCATCTTTCTCGCCCCTTCGATCAGTCTGTCTGTCTGTGCAGATATTTCTCGTTCTACTTCCGCCTTTTGTCGCTGACGCTTTTTATTTGTGTCTCTCTCTATCTATCTCATCTCTTCTCTCTCTCTCTCTCTCTCTCTCTCTCTCTCTCTCTCTCTTCTCTCTCTCTCTCTCTCTCTTCTCTCTCTCTCTCTCTATGTATCTTCCTTCCTTCCTCCTTCACCTATTCCTCCCTTCTTTCCATCGACCCACCACCCCACTCTCTCTCCCATCCTTCCCTCTTCCTTCTCTCCTTCACCTTTTCTTCTCCTTCTTTCCCCCTCCCTCTCTCTCCTTCCTTCTTCCCACCTCTCCTTCTGTGTCTCTCTCTCTTTCCGTGTCTCTCATTCTTGCTTACACATCTCTACATATCTCGACGGCGCTTCCACATCGGTCATTTACTTCAATTCGGTAATTAGACGAAGCACCGAGATTCTCCGGCGCCTCGTGTTGGAGTTGAGGCTTTGTAGTCAAGGATCAAAGCACCCTTGAGAGCAGCGTGGCAAGCAAGCACGTGCAGGATCCTTCGCTCTGCGCGAGGAATCAAGTTTTTGTGATGAGTGAGCAAGGAGGAGCGAAGGGCGGCTCGCTGTGGGAGTCCTTGTGGTCCTCCCGGCATTTGTCTATTTTATATAAAAGTCTTGTTTTTTTCTATTCAATCTTGGTAATGTTTGCAGCCATGTTATGAAGAAGTTGTTAGTGCGTCTCTCAGCTAAGCAGCCTCGAAAGGCCGCGGGGCACGTGCCCATTGATGTCAGCACACACCTCTCCCGGCTGGCCAATCACGGGCCCTCTCGACGGACACACCTTCGTCGCTGCGCCAATGGGAAGGCTGGAAATGATGGCGCGTCGTCTACGGCCGGCTGGTAACTAATCAGATATCTCTTTCTAAATCTAAATACTGTTATAATATCAAGATTTAGTTTGGAATTGTCGGAAAATATGTAACGGATAAATAGCAAGTGTAATTTCGTGAAATCATCAGACATTCCTGAGATATGGTCCGACCGATTTTTTTTCTTCTTCCTGCTTTTTTTTATGCGACCCCCTGTAAAAAATAAAAAAGCACCCTCTCAAAACAAATACTGTTATCAATAACGCCCGCAATTAAACACCTTAAACAAAAACAACTCATAAGCAAGCAAATACAAAAAACAAACACTACAAATAAACACGCAAAATCCCCCAAAAGTCTTTATAAATTCGCTATAG